GTGTGTGTGTGTGTGTGTGTGTGTGTGTGTGTGTGTGTGTGTGTGTGTGTGTGTGTGTGTGTGTGTGTGTGTGTGAAGTTTGAGTATGCGTATGCACCTCTTGCAAGCCTTGGCTGTGCGCTGGCAGCAAGTGCCGCACGGCCCGCTGCGTTTGGGACCCTCTACCGACCACTGCAACCTCGGCACCAAACGTGGCGCCCGCTTTCCACGGATGGAAAATGGCCCATTCGGGCCGCCGGTCGCAGCAACTCGCCGGCGTCAAGATGTTCGGCGGCGCGGAGGAACATGACGTCATTGATGAACACCGCGTCTGAATTTGGGCAGCAGCTGTGGTTGATGAGGCTGGGCAGCACCCACAGGCCGGTCTCCCTGAGCGCAGATCGTATGAAGGGTGGGACAGTCCCTGTCAGATGGGCGGCTCCGGTGAGCACGGCTGTTCCCCTTCCCTGGACGAGAATGCTTGAGCTGCTGCAGGGAAATGCAGGATGCTGTGAGGCTGGTGACACCCGCCGCAACGCGCGCTGCTTGCAGGGCGCCCTACCTGCCCAGCGAGCACTCAGCATGCCTTTGTCAAGCGTCACTCACCTGACGCCAGGCCGCATCGCCTCGGGCTGCTGCGCAGCCGCGGGGACCGCCGGATCGCGGCCGCCGCCGCCCGTCGGCCCCGCCTCATCAAAGCCAAACGCGTTGCCCGCCACGATCGCCCGCACGCGGCGCGGGTCGAGCGGCGGCGGCGAGTGCACCTCCGCGTCCGCGTTGCTGTGTGCAGCCTCAAGGAGGGTGCGCAGGTCGGCGGGCGCGGCGAGCGCGGGTTTTGCAAGCGCAGGGTCCCCCTGGACCCCCAGCAGCGGTGTGTGGGAGATTGTTGAGCTGCAAGGCTAAGGGGCTGGGGTACAAGGCACGCGTTGGGCGGCCTGCAGCATGGCATGTCTTGCTGCTTCGTCACGGGACCAAACGCCTCGCCAAGGACGGTCGTTGCACGTCATCGCAACTGCATCTGAGCAGCGCATGGGGGGCTGTGCAGCGGCGACAATCCGAGAAAGGCTGCCCTGAAATGATGCGCATTCTGCGGCTCGCATCACACAAACACAGCCCACGCTGCGAGCGTGAAGTTCACAAATCCCTGTGTGGCCCCTAAACCACAGTCACTCGCGCTGCACCCACAATGTTTCACGCTGCCAGGGCGTCGTCGTCAGCTCGGTGTCGCCCACGCACCTGGCGCGGCAGGCCGGAGAGCACGTACAGGCGGCGCAGCGCGGCGGGGTCTGCCTCGCAGCGCTGCAGCAGCAGGTCACCCAGATCAGCCTGGGACTGGTCGTTCTGTGGGGGTATGGGGGGATGCCGATATCCAGGCGTAGAGGGGTGTGAGTGGGGGGGGGGTCCCTGCACCGAGCGCTCACGGGGCCACGCACCACTGCTGCCCGACGTGCGCACGCGTGCTGCAGCCGCTGTGCCTCGAGAGCATCACACGCACGCTCGCTGCAGGGAACAAGTCTAGCCAGGCCGCATGGCCCACGTTCGCCGCGGCCCACGTGTCGATTGCAACAAAACCTAAACCGATGGCCCCTAAACCATAACCCCACGATTTGCACAGACCAAGGAGCCGCTGGCATGATCGATTCGAAAGCCTCCTGCCGAGCTGCGTGCCACTCCAATCGGCTTGCAGGCCGCCAGCAGCGCTCCTGGCGCCACTGCGCGCCCCACGACCAGCCCGCGGCCGCAGCCTGTGTTCCCGATATGGAAGCGGTTTGGGCACCGTTGTGGCGAGAGGCGCCGCATGCCGTGTATCGGCTGAAGGGGGCCGCGGGGCGCACGCGAGTGGCGAGTACAGTACGCGGGCTCGTGGCTCCCTTGGGCGCGCTCTGCCGCGCAGCCGGGTGCGCAAGAGAGGGCAGGTACCCTTGATAGGTCGCGGGCCCACAGTCCTGGTGCCATAACTAGCTGATATCAAAGCTGTACAAGGCCCCCGTTGTAGTTCATGGCAACAGATGTGCAAGGCAGGCGGGCCGGCCGACCCGACCGTGCAATCGACCCCAGAGGCAAATAGAGCGCCCAGGGCTCGGTGGGCAGCTGCGATGCCGCGCACCCCCTCCTCGAGCCCGCGCCCCATCCGCACACAAACGTCTTTGCAACTTTGGGCTGCCTGGCCCCGCACGCCACACGTCACCCACACAACTCTGCCTAGTGACTGTGTGACTGCCAGGTCCTTGCACTCTGTAACTGTCTGCATGATGATGATGATGATGATAAGTTACTCATACCACTGCATGACTTGTTTCTTATTGTCTGTGATACTGCAAATGCAATGCCACGCACGCGCACACACACACACACACACGCATGTATGCGCACGTGCTCAAGCGCAGAAGCATCTGCACACCTGGGACGTCGGTGACCGCAAGGGCCGGGTGCACATATTCACCAAACTCCTGCGGCGCTGCCGCAACGTAGAGCTTGGAAGACGAAAAGGCGCCGTCCTCCGACTCGGCGGCCAGCTCTCGCACCGCTGCCAGCGCAGACCGCACCTCATGGCCGGCCGAAGGCTGCGTGGCGGGGTCCATGCGCGCGCACGGGTGTAAGAGATGGGGCAGCGTCGAGATTGGTGCCTTCAGGCCTGTGGGTGCGCGTGGCTGGTAGGCAGGTGTCTCTGTGCGTTCCAGTGCACGTGTGGCTTGTGCATAGGCCGCATCTGACTTCCACTTGGCATCCCCTCATCACTTGTTGCATCCATCAGCAGAATTAAAATTCTGCTGGATGGCGCAAGCCGAGCGTCAGGCGCAGAAGGAGCAGCACAGAAGCCATTTGCAGGCCGGCCAATCAATCGGAGAGACTCCCTCGGAGGAGTTGTATTTGAACAGGGTGGTAGGCACAGTGCATCTTGGCTATGTGCGCTGCGCCACCCAGGGCTACATTGTGTGCCGCCCCCACACCCGCCGGCCTGCCCCCAGTGGCCAAGACGACCAAGACCAGGCACCGCTGCAGCACAGGTGCCCCACCCCTGCAGCCAGCGGCTCCAGCAGGCGCGCCGCCGCCCTGTAGTCTCCGAGCGTGCGCAGCGCCGCCGCCAGGCGGAACCTGTGCTTTGCATTGCCAGGGTCCAGGTCAGCCGTCTTTCCGGCCGCCTCCGCCGCGGCCGCGGCCATGGCGCGTGCGCCGGGCACTGGGGCGTTGCGAGACGCCGGCGGCAGCCGCTGCAGGCGCGCCTGGGCCAGGTTTGACCACGCGCGCGCGTCGCGCGGCGCGGCGGCGGCCGCCGCCTCGTACAGCTGGCAGGCGGCAGCCCATTCTCCGCAACTGGGGGCGCGTGCGATTGGCGGGACGTGTGCGTGGACAGAAGACGGGTAAAGTGTGCGGCGTTGCACCACTTCAATGACAGCCCTGGGATGGGGTCGAGGTTTTCAGTCGAACTTTGCTGCGCCCCCGTCCCTCCCTAGCGCAGCGGCAGATGCCTCTGGTATGAAGCCGAGCGAGGCGCAACACCTGAGCGGCTTCGCACGCATCAACCAACAATCCTTACTCCTTGAAACAGAACAGCAATGCGACCAAGCGCTGCCCTGCTGTGCGACTGCGGCCTGCCTGTACGCTGCGTTGCCGCGCTCCCTCAGGGCGTCCGCTCCGCCATCCTCCATTGCCGCCGTTTGCGCCTGGGGCTCCTCGCCATCTGGCATTGACGGCGCAGTCGCAGAGGGCGAGGGTGGCGCACCCGCCTGGAGCCCAGCTGGTGGTGCAGCAGTTGGCTTCGGCAGCCGAGTGAAGGACGCTGCCTCGATGGAAGTGTTCCCCATTGCTCATTTGTTTTGACCCTCGTACGCTGTAACTCGGCAAAGACGGGGCAGGCGGAACACCCGTGAGGCTCTCGGACGACCCCGAGACTGAGATCGCGGATGTACAGTACGAAAGTGGAGCGATTGGATGCAAGACGCTATGATCCCCTGCCCCGCTATTCCAAGGTAAGTGTAGGTGGACAACGGGCTGCTCAACCACCGGATTACTCGTCTGCCCCAGCGTGGCCGAGAGCCCGCACAACCGCCGCCGCAGCGTCCGCAACCGCCAAAGCCGGCACGGCCAGCCCATCCCCCAGGGCTTTCGCCTCCCAAAGTGCTGCCTCGGACGCATACTGCACGGCGCCTGGTTGCCGCTGCCGCGTGGCGCGCAGCTGCTCACAGATGGGGCCGGCAAGTGCGGCGCGGCAGGCCTGTGTGCGGGTTGCAGGAGAGGCGCAGAGGAGGGCAGGTGGAAGCCAAGCGCGACGTGCTGCGGCTGCTGCTGCTGCTGCTGCTGCTCCCCTCCTGCTGCTGCTGCTGTTCAAGCACAGCCGGCGAGCTCACAAACACGCCTGACCCAACACGACAGGCGTGCCGCAGCCAGCGCTGAGAGTGGCGCGTACTCAAGCCCCTCCAATGCCAGCGGTCTACCGCATGCCGCTGCGCAGATACCAGCACGCCCGCGCTCCTGCCTCATGCGCACCAAACAAAAGGCCCCCCCAGGCAGCCGCCGCCTACAACCCACCTGTCGAGCCTCCCTCACTGCCGCCTCCTCCTCGGGGCCGCCGCACCGCCACGCGCCCAGCCGCGCCCCCAGCCAGGCTAGCAGGCCTGGAAGCTCGGGAGGCACGAACGCCGCGCGCGCGGCGCGGCGGGGCGCCGGCGCGGCGCCCGAGGCAGGTGCGCCGCGCGGCGGCGGCTGCACCGATGGAACCAGCTCCCCAAGCGCGCCGTCTGGGCCTGGTGGTTGTTAGCGAATCAGGGAATGGTTGGTGCGGCGCGAGTGAGCCATCCGTGCTGCAGGTGCACGAAATGCGCACACGCCGGATGCGAGGCGGAGCCCTCCGCAGCGAGCAGCGGCAGGCCGAGACAGGCGCGACCGGCGCCTTCGCACACCTGCCCGCCACCCACCCCAAACCACGGCAGTTTGGGGCCGAGGGGCGCGCCATCGGCCGGGCAGCGGCGCGCCCCTGCCTATGCCGGTGCTCACCAGCGGAGCACCACCAGCCGGCCTCCTCTGCATGCCGCGCGTAGGCACACCAAAACGCCGCCGCGCCGCAGAGCTGCCGCGCGTCCCCCAGCCGGCAGCGCCGCATCACATCACACGCGAGGCTGGTGCCTGGCACGGCGCCGGCGCTGCCGCCGCCGCAGCTGCGCCCACTAGTTTCGGGGCCATGCGACGAGCGGCCCGGCGCCGCCGCGGGCTGCTGTCTCGGCATGCCATCCGGCCAGAAGCCAGGCGGCAGCTCCGAGGCGCCGGCCTCGGGCGGGCTGCCAGCCCCATACAGGGGAGCCGCACGGGCGCCGCCAGGCGCCGCCCCCGAGGCGGCGCGCCGCCACCAGAAGCATGACGCGACGGCCTCGACCGACTGCACCTCGCATGCGTGCGCCGCGCCGCCCGACGGCGGCACGACGCGCTCCGACGCGGCGTGGCAAGAGCACATGCAGGCCAACAACCCCGCTGCCGCCTCTGAAGCCTCAACAGCTGCATGAACACCTGCTGCCTGCACCCCGCCAGTGCCGGCGCCCTCAGCCCTGGCTATCAGGGCCTGCAGCAGTGACTCATGCAACTCAGGCACCCGCTGCAGCATCCCAACGACCCGCGTGCGCCAAGGCGCCGCCGCGTCCGCGCCCGCGACCGCGCCGCCGGCAGCTGGCGCCGCCGGGGCGGGGCCGCCGCCGCCGCCGCCGCCGCTGGGGTTGCTGCCGCCGCCTGCCGCGGTTGGCAGCGCGTTGCAGCGCTGGCATGTGTCAGCGAACTTCTGGATGACAACCTCTGCCAAGTCCTGCAGGCTCGGCGACTCGCCACTGCTTTGCAAGCCGGCGGTGCCCCCACCGCCGCCGCCGCCGCTCCTGTGGGCCCCTCCGTCCGTCCGCTGTCGCTTGGCGTCGTGAGGGCCGGGGGCTGGAGGAGGCATGTTGCCGCCGCCAGGGTGCAGCGGGGGCCGCTGCTGCTGCTGCTGCTGTCGCTGCTGCTGCTGCTGCTGCTGCTGCTGCTGCTGCTGCTGCTGCTGTTGCTGGGAGCGCCGCGCCACGTCCCTCAGCTGGCCCTCGATCCTCTCAACCAGCCGGTCAAACGCGCCGTCGGCCCCCGCGGCGCCGATCGCCAGCAGCGGCAGCCTGCGCGGCGCGCGGCAAAGGCATGAGCGCGGCGCCGCGATTGCGGCCGCGTATTGGCCACGCCAACGGCACCCTGCCCCGGGCGCACCGTCGTTCCTGGCGTTCCCAACATCCATACAATCACGCAGTGTCAACACACAAACAGTGGCAACACCGATTGTCGAGCCACAACAAAACCCAACCCTCTCACCCGCAACATTGCATCCCCTAATACTAATTGAACCCAGATGTTTGCAGCTTGATATAGACACAAGGTGCTGTGTACATAAGTTCAATAACCCCCACGCTCAATCGACGCCCACCTATCTAGAAGCTGGTGCAGCCGCGCCGCGGGACTGTCCCCCGCCTCTGCCCACGCCCGCACCCTGCCCGGCTGCTGTCCAACCGGGCCTGTCGCGCCGGCCGGCCCCTCCAAATCAAAGCCCACGGCGTCACACGTTGCCTTGAAGCGCGCCGGCGCATCGCGCGTCAGCTCGCGCGTCCTGGCGTGGGACGCGAGCGCCTGGGCAGCGGGAGGGGCCGCGAGACCGTAGGTGAGGCGGGGCGGTGTCCGGCAGTCCCACGCCGTTGCAGGCGTGGTTGCCTGACAATTGCAGCTGGGAACTTGAGCGGACGGACGCTGCTGGTGGCTCCATACGTTTGCTGATGCTGCAGCTTTTCGTCGGCGCCCTGTCCCGAGCCGCTCGTCGAACCGAGATGCCACATGGACGTGCATGAGCAGCAAGCCCCTTCTGCATTCACACACGCCAAAAGCTCGGGGCACGCCTGTGGGACACATCACACACATACACACACACACACATATATACACACACACGCACATATGCACACACACGTACACGCACGTACGCGCTTGCCTGCAGGAAGCTGTAGCGCAGCTGCGCGCTCTGAGGGCTGTCAGGGAGCGCCGTCAGCAGCGGGAGCGTGACGCGCTCAAATTCGCCGCGGTTGAAGGTGAGCGTGAACGCCTGCGGCGCGGGCACAGTCAGTGGTGCACATGATCGTATGGTGTCAGTGTGGGTGTTTTTGTTTGTGTGTGTGTGTGTGTGTGTGCGTTACGTCTTCTCTGTGTGGGTGGACTTGTGTGTGTACACATGCAATTACAATGCTATGTCGAAATAAGTTGCGCCTGAGCAGCCGAAATCATTCACCAGGAGGCGTACCTGCCTCCCTCCAGCCGCCCGTGCAGCCACTCGACTGCCCCACCCCCTCAGCGCGCGCCTGCTTATCCGAAAGCTTGCTGCATCCAGCCTTTTGAAACTCCGCCAGGTGGTGCGCCAACGCGGCCTCCACCTGCCTGCGCGCCCCGGGGTCCAGCTGCGCCAGCCTGCAGCAGGCATTCACAATTGGCACACACACGCCATGCGCGGCGTCAGCGCCGCCGGCACAGTGGATGGGGTGATACAGGGTTGAGCAGGCGCGCGGGGCATGCCGAGAGGGCCGAAACGCTGCGCCAATGCTGGTGCGAGCAGGCGTGCAGGGCGGGGCTCCATTCCGAACCCCAGAATCCCAATCAGGAATCTCAGGATGGATGGCAGTTTGAACTCAAATCTAACAAGCAGGAAGGCCGCTGCGTGCCCCGAGCCACAACATTGTGAGCGCTCGCCTGCCGTGGCCCTCCGCCGCCGCCGCGTCCCGATCCTTGATGCAGGTCTGGATGATGTCCTGCGTGTCGCCCTGCTGCGCCCGCACCGCCTCCGCCGCACCCCACTCCCTGGGCAGGCCGCCAGCCAGGCCCTTGTAAACCTCCAGCTCCCACCGCGGCGCGCTCGGGCAGAGCGCACGCATTGCAGCAGCCAGCCGCGTAAATACCCGTGTCGACGCCTCAAGCGGCGGCGGCGCCGCGGGGCCTGTGGCGGCGGCTGGGGCGGCGGAAGAGGCACGGCCGCGGGCTCGGCAGGCGGCGGCGTGTATGAGATCCCGATAGTCGCTTGGGCAGAGCACGCGCCGCGCGACCAGCATGGTCGAGTGGAGGGCCGACTGGTCGTCTTCCGCCAGCGCGGCCTCCAGGCAGCCGCAAATCTGCCCGACGCCAATATGTGATAGGGAGAGGGGTGTGACAGCGCGCGTTTTGTGACTGTTGGGGGGCGCATCACAGCCCGGCAGATCGGCGGAGGTCCAAGGCATGAGGTGTGCAGGTATGGCTAAGGACAGTGCCGGCGAGCATTGTCGGTGGCCGACAGGCAGTGCGGTAGCTACCCTGAAAGACCTCCAGACGAGCTGAGAGCGCACCCGCTCTATCGTGCTGCGCGCCGCGGGCCCGCTGCGCCTCAGCAGCGCCCCCGCCAGCCCCGCCGCGGCCCGCTGCCCGGCGAGGCTCGCGCCCGCGAGCGGAAGCCGCGCGGAAAGCGCCGCCATCAGCTCGTCGGGCTCGATCACTTTTTGCAGGTCCCGCCTCAGCACATTCCGTAGCACGCCGCCCCACCACTCCTCGCCCCGCCACGGCCCCGTCGCGCGCGGCTGGCCGGCCGTGGCGCCGCCGCGTGACAGCCCAGGGAGGACCCAGGGGGCGTCCCTATGGGAGGGGGCTGCGGCGCCGGCGGGGCCGCTTGGGCCGTCGTCGTCCGGCGCTAAAAGCCGGGTGACCTCTCGTAGCACCCAGCGATGTGCGAGGGCCTCGTCAAGAGGGAAGAGCCGGGAGCAGACCGCTGCAAACATGCGGGCGTGCAGCACCTGTCAGGGGTGAGAGAGGGTGGGGCGCAGGGCTGCGTGTGAAAGCCAGCAGGCGTGGAGCTTGGCGGCCGGGAAGGGGTGCGTAGCAAGCGCAGGCGGCTCCGAGGGGGGAAGGGTGGCGGTCGGCGCTACGTGGAGCGTTGAAATATGGCGTCGCAGATGGAGGATGGGTGAGGACGAGAGTAGGACACCCTCACCTCGTCGGCGTCGCTGGCGGCTGCGAGCAGGGACAGGATTTCGTGCGCCCCTGCGACACCCGGGCCGCCTCCGCCGTCGCTGCTGGTGTCGCGCCTGAACCCCGGCTGCTGCTGCTGCTGCTGCTGCTGCCGCCACCCCGTGGTGCTTTCTGCCACCCCGGCGTCGCCCGCAGGGGCGGTCGCCCGCAGCAGCTCAGAGAATAGCAGCTGGAAATGCGCCTCCGCTTCGACGCCGCCGGCGCCCGCCGCCCACTGCAGCGCCGCCGCCGCCGCGGACGCTGTGCCGCCGCAGGCTGCGAGCAGCAGGCGCGGCGCGGGCGCGGCGCTGGCGGCATGCAGGGCGGCCGCGGCCGACAGCTGGGCGAGCCGGGCGTCGGGCCGCTGCCCCAGGGACGAGGAGAGGCCGTCAAGGAACGCATCCGCAGAGAACAGCCTGCGCAAAACGGAATGACATCCGGTTGCTGGACTCACTGGACCAGGGGAGGTCGAGCACGCTGAGGCGGCGGCGGCGGCGCCGATTTTCAACTTGCGGCAGCACGGCCAGCAGAGCACAGCGCGAGCCAAGCGCTTGCGACCAGTTGCGCACCTGGCGGCCTGCACACAGCGCAGCTGCTTCACCACCACTTCTGAAGGGTATTCATCCATCATCAGCCCCGTCTCACGGGAAGCTCTCGCTGCTGCAGCCATATTTGTAGATCACTGGCGGGAGATCTGCTTGCTCTTCCCATCGATCGCCATGTCATCGTCATATGCAATCAATTTGGAGGCTGGATACATTGGATGAGCAATCAGATTTTGAACCTAGGTCAGATCTGCCATCTCATATCAGCGATCATCTCATTCCGATGGAAGCTGTGATGTAGGCTAGACATCGGTTTTAATTCACATATACGTAGCAAGGCGTGATGACGGTTCTGGTGCTGCTGTCACTGGTGGCGCTTGTGGGCAAGCATGGGGCGCACGGCGCGCCGCTGCATGGTGCGCGCCTACTGGGGGCAGAGCATGCCGGGCTTGGGTCACAGCGACGCCCAGGAAAGCGGTCCTGGATCAAGTCTGGTGCCCTCTGGTGGGACAGCTATACGGCATGGCCGCCTACCCGCAGCTGTCATGCCCAGCCCCGCCCTTGTGGGCCTGAGGGTGGCTCCGCGACTTTCGCGAACGGCTCTCTCGCCACCAGGCGCCCCCGAGGCCAAGACTGTGCGTGACGTCTATGCGCTCATGTACCGCGAGCAGAAGCGCACCGGCGGCGCATACCTTCTGCTCAACTCCACTGGTGGCATTGGCAGCCAGGGTGCGCACCTCGTGCGGGCGGTGGGCGGTGGCCGACGGAGAGCTCACGCCGCGTGTCGCCATGCCCGTCCCGCGCGGGAGAGCAGAGGTGTACAGCACCTGAGCACGCACGCGCGCCGCGCCCTGGCAGCAATGAGGGAGGCATCGTCCCTGAAGTTCGGTGCACCAAGGCCGGGTCAACGCAATCAGTCGGCAGCCGGGCTGCCCAGCCATGCGGCGCGCACGCTCGGTGCCACCAGCCGGTCCCCTCCGTCGCGCCTCGGCCTTTCACCCCCACAGGACCGCCGGAGGGCCAGCGGGATGCTGACGGGGCACTTATCCACCTGCGGCACCTGCCCAACGCATCAAAGGGCCCCACCGGCGCCGCCAGCCTCATGGTGCTCGTCCCAGTGGCCGAGTCGGACGCGTTTTTGCGGCGCTTGCTGGCGGAGCCGGCCCTGTTGGCGCGGGTGGCGGGGGTGCTTATAGATGACACGGGTGAGGGGGGCGCCGCGAGGCACGCTGCCTGGCGCTGCGGCTGCGGCGTCGGGTGGGAATGACGTGTGCGCCTGATTGCGTGTATGCGTGTGAGTGAGTGAGCAAGTGAGTGAGAGAGAGACAAACAGAGAGAGAGAGAGTGTTCCCTGCACCAACCTGCATCGCGCAACGCCGCGTCCGCCCGCCTCTCCACCCCCCACGCGACCAGAGCCACCCGCCAGCTACACATCGCTCCCGGCCTTCCCGGGCGTCGCTTTCGCCCCTTATCCCGCCGGCGGCCACGCCTGGAACCCCGTGGCCACGCCTGACGCGCCGGGCAGCGGGCAGCTGCGGTGGCCAGTGCCTGTGATGCTGCTGTCAGAGGGGATGGCGCGCGACGCCAGGGAGAGGGCCGACTACAACAAGGAGCGGGTGGGTGGATTCGGTGGATTTTCGGTCAAGCTGCTCTCGCTGCGCCTGTTCTTTGGGCAAAGCGGGGCGTTTGTGGGCTTCAGCGTGCACGCCCCCCTCGCCGCCGGTGCACACAGGTGGTCAATGTGCAGGTGCGCTCGTCCTGCAATGCATGATTTTGCATGAGAAGGCAGACGGCGGCTGGCTCCTGCGCCATGCCGCAAGCTCCGCACCGCTTTCCCGCGCCCGCGACCCGCAAGCCATCCCTCACCTCGCCCGCCCCATCCGCCTCCTCCTGAATCTCCTCCTCCTGAATACAAAGGGCCACCAGGGCCGAGCCTACCATGCGCGCATCTCCCTGCCGATGTCGGCCTCCGGCGACGCTGACTCAGCATCCGCCCTGAAGGCCGCGACCTGCGCGCCGCTCGGAGGCTTCAGCGTCTGGGCGGCGCTGCCACCCATCCCCGCGGGTGCGCGCGCTTCAGCGCTGCACGGCCGAAACCCCGCCGCGCCGGGCGCGGGCGGTTCGGGCCGACGCTTCCCCGCGCCAGCTTCTTGCAGCTGCGTCTGACGCTGCCAGGCTCCCCTCGGCGCCGCCTATGCAGCAGCCAAGAGTGGGTTGTGGAATGGTCAGTTGTTAAGAGCCCACCCCACCAACCGGCCCCCGAAACCCCCTTGCCAGGCGCCAACGTTACCAAGTCCACCCTGCTAGTGGTGGCCCAGGTGGACTCGACTGACCTTTTTCACGACAGTGTGCAGGCGAGCAGCCGCGCCCCCGCACCCCCACCCCGCAATCCAGCCTTGTAATCGACATTGGCCGCCGCTCAATCCCACATGCTCATACAACATAACCAAAACTCATAAGCCTGGTGGCCTTCTCAGGGTCCGGGGTTCTTGTTGCTAAGCTGGCGCCGCAGCAAGCGCCAGGGAGTCCCCCTGCTGACCCTTCAACTGCCCTTGTCCCCACCCCCCAACCCCCTGGCCCGGTCATCCCCGCAGGGCGCGACCGCGCCGCTGTCCGGCCTGGTGGCGCTGCTCGCCGCCGCGTCCGTCCTCGGCGCCGCGCCCGCACCCGGCCTCGAGGGCGCCGCGCAGAACGGTGCCGCGGGCCTGGCGGCTTCTTACAGCCGCCAGATCGTGTTTTTGGCGCTGGCCGGGGAGCCCTGGGGCTACATGGGCAGCAAAGCATTTCTATGGGAGCTGCAGAGGGGGGGTGTCACCGTGGAGGGGCTCGATCTGGCGCTGGTGGACCAGGTTAGTGATCTGGGAGACTGACCTGGGTGACTGATTTGAGACCGATCTGGGACGGCTGGCCGCACACTTACAAAGGGCGTTGCGCTTCGGGCTTGGCATCGGCTCGCCGATGCGGCGGAGCGCGAGTAGAAAAAACCGTGCGCTGGGCGGACCGCTGGTGACTGCCCGCATCCCTGACACGATTACTCACTTGACACCAGACTGGCTGTCGCCCACACCTGCCCTTCCTCCTCGCCCTCCGCTTGCTGTCTCACCGTTGGCACCTGCTCCCCCCTGGATTTCTCCACTCTATTATTGCATACCACAAACTGCAGGTCCTGGAAATCGGACCAATAGGCCAGGCAGCAATCACCGGATCGCCGGCGACAGCGGCGTTTTACGCGCACACCCAGCCGGGCGCGGCGTTTGGCAACGCGGGCCCCGTGGTGGACGCGCTGCAGGCAGCTGCCGGGCAGCTGCCGGAGGGGCTCAAGGTGGGGTGTTGGCGTGCTGGCGCTGATTGAAATGACGTTGCAGGGGTGTGCATATCGCTGACAAGGAGCCGTGACTAAGTTGATATTGTCGTTGGCTGACGGTTGGATGGATTTGTTGCGCCAGACATCCCACAACGTGACTCAGACCTGCGCGTGCGCACGGGCAAGGGCCTTGTGCTTGCCGGCTTCACAGCAGATGCCAAAAAGGACCCTGCGGCCGCCAAGCATCCAAACACAACTTCTTTAATGCCCCCTCGCCGCAGGCGTCTGTGTCTCCAGCCAGCAGCAGCAACCCCGGCATCCCTCCGTCCTCCCTGATGTCGTTCCTGAGGGTCAAGCCCCAGATCGCCGGCGTCGTGTTGACCGAGTTTGACCGGGCGTACCGCAACCCCTACCAAGGCAGCCGCTTCGACAAGGGCGATAGGGTGGACGGCGGCGCGATCGCACGCGCGGCGGGGGTCGTGGCGGCGGCCGCGCACGCCCTCGCGGGCGGGCGGCCGGAAGACCTGCAGGTGGGCGCGGCGCCGCGTGCGCCCTTCAATTTTGCAAATGAAAGCCTCCGCATTGGGACTTGATATCATCGCACCTCTGCACCATCGGCATGCATCATCACATGTGTGTGTGTCTCAAATTTTGCTGCAGCCTCGTGACGCTTCGCACTGTTGCCTGCAGCACCCGCACTCGCGCTGATTGCACTCAGCAGCTTCAGCCAGCTGAAACACCCCCTGTGCGTCCTTTGAATCCTCGGCTTCCCGCCCCGCCAGCTAACCCCACTCCCCTGCTGTTGCGTGCCGCTGCAGGCAAACGCCACGCGCCTGCTGGAGCTCGTGGCCTCGTTCTCGTCCTGCCTCATAGCCCTCGACCCCGGCCTCTCGTGCGCCGCCGCGTCGGCGCTCATGGCGGCGGGGTACACCGAGGTCGACGGCGTGCGCAGCTACGCGCCAAAACACTACATCGGGGTACTGCAGGCGCGCGACGGGTCTCGTGTCATACGGGGCAGGCTCGGCAGCCGTTGAGCGCGGGGAAAGGGGGGTGAGGAGAGGGGGCACATGCGCCGGCCGCCAGGGAGCTGAACGCTGGCGGGAAAGCGGGCACGCGGTGCCTGCGGTGGCGGCTGGTTGTGGTTTAAGAAAGAAGGTTGAGAGGGACCAACGGTGCAGCAGATGTGCGTGCCCGAGGAGCCTCCCCTGAGATACCTAAAGCTCGCACATACATTACACTTTGCCATGTTCATTGCTCATCATCCTTTCCACGTGCACCCGACCGGAAAACAGGTGCTGCACCCAGACCCTCAGAGCCCCTTTTACAAGGACGACACGTCCAGGTTCCTGTGGAACGCCCTGGCAGCAGCCACCGCGGGGAGCGGCCCGGGGTCACGCGGCGCCACGTGCGACCCCGTAAAGAACAAGTGCCCGGCCGGGCAGGTGGGTGGGTGATAATGCAGCGGGGTGGGCGAGAAGGTGGTGATTGTTTCTTTGTGTGTCGGAGCGATGCTGCCATAGAGTGGGCTGTGGGGGTGTTAGGCTGCACTGGGACGGCTGTGATGATGCTGCAAGGGGATTGCGGCAGGAGCAGGCGCACGTGCTGCTGCTGCTGCTGCTGCTGCTGCTGCTGCTGCTGCTGCTGCTGCTGCTGCCAACCTCTGATTCTTTGCAGCCCTGTCAATTGCACATGTGCACACGCAAACGCAAACAAGCACACGCATGCACACACATACACACGCATGCACATGCACCTACGCATTTATCAGCACAAATGCACGCCTGCGCTCATGCATGCACATCCCCTCAGGTCTGTGTCGGCTGGAAGCGCGGCGACAAGGACCCCTCCCTCCTCGGCACCTGCCTCAACGCCACCGCACACTACGTACCCTCCCTATCCACCCGCATCACCTGCGCCCACTGCGACGACATCTATGGCGCGTTCGCGTGGGTCGAGACCGACGCGTCGGATTTGTGGGCGCAGCAGCACGGGTGGCCGCGGGACCCGATGTGGTGCGAGTCCAACTGGCCGCAGGGGGTGCCCTTCATCCAGCTGTACCTATTGAAGCCCTACTCAACGCGGGTGAGGCAACTGCCGCATGCGGCGCCGAACTAGAGGCTGCTGGGCCGCCCGCGCGGGCGTCTCGCATGGGTGTACAGGAATGTGCATGCATGCAATTTCAGGGGGCAGCCACAGGCGTGATCGTACCCCTTCAGTCAAATGTGGAGCCTCGGGGTTTCATACCCTCTGCTTAAGGAGACGACTGCGAGCTGCCTGCTTTGCCGGCCGGCTCTGCATTCATGGGGACTGCATGTTGCGTGTCTGACCAGCCTGCCGTGCCGCACACACCCCCTCCCTCACCCCTGGGTGGGGTCCACAGGTCGGCGTGCTGCTGGCCGGGATCGGGCTGACAGTGGCGGCGCTGGCCGCGTCGCTTGCAGGGCGGCGCATGTTTGAAAAGCACTTGAAACGCAGCTGACAACGGCGGCGGCCCTGTTGGTGGACTTGGCTGTTTGATTTATAGTAGATCCTTGTTTGGTGGTTGCAATTGAGCTGGGTGCAAACACGCAGGTGGTTGATTGCTTATGTTTACAGGCAGCACAGCGGCGGGACTCTAGTCGCAACCATCCAGGAACTATGGCAGGTATATATCATACTCATGGGGAGCTGGACAAGCCAGCAAACAAGGTTGAGTGTGTTTGAGCAGCCACTCATTGGGAGAGTGGGTCGCAACCAATTGCAAAAAGCACATGAGCGTCAGTATAATGCAAGGATGACGAACTACCAAAAGATTGCAGCTACCAAGACAAAGAAAGTTCCCCGTACATGCTATTTGTACGGTCTGCAATCGCAGTCCCCCACAACCAATCCCAGTCGCCGCGGGCCACCCACGGCAGCCCCCAGCGCCTGCATTGGCACCGGGTCAGGGGGCAGCCGGCGCCGGCGCCGTGCACTCGATCTCCGAAGTCATGATCATTCTATAGGAACTACGTGACTGTTCGGTGCTTTGATAAAGTATTCCGAAGCCATCACTCACCATTACAGTATCTGCAGTCGACCTGTCTGGCTTCAGCTAGCCGCTTTGCGCGTGGCGCCGGCAACATTGCAGTGCTGCTGCGGTGCCAGCTGTGAGCGCAGGCACAGGGCGTGTCGCGCCTCCTCGCCACAGTCGAGCCAACCACTGAAACCGCGCCATGTTTGCGGCAAATTCTCCCCTTGCGCACTCAGAGGAGCTGCGCCAGTTGGGCACTTGATACTGACGGCACACGCAGCGCAGGCTGGCATAAAAACTTGAGTGATGCACCCAATTGCATACAGCAGGCCGTCCATCCATTTCTGCTTGTCTACTGCATAAGCTTAGTGGTAGGATGTAGGACGCTCTCATGTCAAAACTGCACCTTGACCCCTGTGGCGTAATCGATTTCATTTTGTGCAGCGCCCTGCAAGGCATGATGAGCAGCCCTTGCTGCACCCCTCAGCCAGTACGCGGGGCCCTTCCCTCTCATCCCTAATTACTTATGTCAACCTATATTACCTATACTAGCTTTGCGCGTGTCATGTCAACTCAGGGATGGAATAATACCACATCAACAGGCCAGCATTCATAACCCCCCAACCCGCGAAGTGCTGCTTGGGCTGCCAGAGCCTGCACTACGTAGCTTTGTGCAGAGCGCGCCGCATCCAGCAGCCTGCCTCCAGCATGGGGCACCGCCTATATCTATCCCAGGGTCGTTTCATGGGGGTGAGTGCGGAGCTCTTCACAGCTGCCACTTCATGAATAGCTGGCTGTACCCTAGTTCTGTGCGCCAAACAGGCAGCGACCATTGGGGTTTTAAGGTGCAAGGTGTTGCACGCATTGATGTCTTTAGTTTCGTGTGATGCACCATGGTGCTTCGCGGCACGCCTTCCCAAACCCTGAACCCCTTCTTACGCCTGGCAGGGCTGAAGATGGTGTGTGGCGCCACACACCTGCGGGCATGCAGCGCGTCTGTGCAGCCAGCGCCCGGTTTCTGCCCCAACTGAATTCCTCATGACTCATGAATGGGTCGAATTTTTACATGGCAGCACGCCGCTCGAGCAGCGCAGACAAGGCGGCAAAGTTCACGCTCTCACTCACTCACATCAGATCAAAACCCCTGCGGTGGTTACGTATCTTTGCGTGTGCAATTGTGTGGTGCGCGCAGCACCCAAAAAAGAGCCCAGCCCCGCGTCGTCAGGCCAGGCCGGGCCCCAACACAGGCCGAGCCAGAGCCGCGACGCAGCGCAGCGCGGAGGGCAAGGGAGCAGCAGCAGGCACAGGCGCCCCTCAGGATGCCCCCTGGGGTGCCCGCGTGCCCAGCCCCTCCCACCCCTGCCCATGCCCCGACAGCTCAGCCTCGAATACCAGGCAGCAGCCATCCCAGGCACTCCATCCCCGCCGTCACAGCAAGATGACATCACGATGACATCACGATGACGTCATCCCACTTAAGCCTTGACGGCCCCGCCGCGCGCCTTGGCGACGAGCTCGGTCTGGATGTTGGGGGGCACCACCTCGTAGCGCTCCAGCTGCATGCTGTACTGGGCGCGGCCCTTGGTCATGCCGCGCAGCACAGACACGTACTGGAACATCTCGGCCAGGGGGACGAACGCCTGCACCAGCTTCATGCCGCCGGGCTTGTCCTCAAACTTGTTCACCTGGGGGGTGGAGTGGGGCGGGGTAAAGCGGGCGAAACCATCAGCAGAAACCCTAGGTAGGCGTCCGAGGCGCTCTGGGCTGGGGCAAAAATCTCCTGAGCAGAATTTGATCCCCAGGTTCAACCAGGCAGAGAGTGAGCGACTGCCAAGCCGCATGATCCCCGTGCGGCAAACCACCCCACCCCTGACACCCACCATGCCACGGCGGGAGTTGAGGTCCCCGATGACGTCACCCATGTGGTCCTCGGGGGTGATCACCTCCACCTTCATCACGGGCTCCAGCAGCCGCGCGCCGCACTTGCCCATGGCGTCGCGGAACGCGCCACGGGCGGCGATCTGCAGGGACGGAGGGAGGGGGGTCGTGAGAGGTTGCGGGAGGGGCAGGGGCACAGCAACAGGTCGTGCCAGCCCCGCTGCAGGAGGGAGCCGCGGCAAGCAAAACCGTGGCACCAGCCAGATCACGATCTTCGAGCCTGGTGTTGGGTTCACAACCGGGGCCGCCGGCAGCAGCGCGCCAGCGGCTCCGTGCCGCACAGCGTCGCGCGCCACTCGCGAAAAAGAACGAAGGGCCGCGTGCGCGGCGGGGATCGATCTGGTGCGCACCTGGAACGCGAGGGCGGAGGAGTCGACCTCGTGGTAGGAGCCGTCGTAGAGGGTGGCGGTGATGTCCACAACGGGGAAGCCCGCCAGGCTGCCGGTGGTCATGGACTCCTCCAGACCCTTGGTCACACCTTTGGGGGGATGAGTTGGAGGTTTGACGGGGAAGGGAGGGGGGTAAGAAGGGCGATGTTTGGTGCGTGCTGCACAGGGGGAGGAAGGGGGCCCTCCCCGCAGACCGCGAGGGCGATTCCCTGCATGGACTTGTGCATGTTGGGACGGCGGAGGGGAGGGGCCGGCGCCGCGAAAATTCAAGGCTCCCTACGTGCGCATTTCACGGCGCCGTCGTTGCGGCGCAGGCGCGAGCGTGCGCGCCGCGACTTATGTCCATGATATGCAAGCACGCCAAAAAGGCACCCACCGGGGATGTACTCCTTGGGCACGGCGCCGCCCTTGATCTCGCTCTTGAAGGTGAAGCCGCTGCCGGGCTCCCCGGGCTCGAAGCGGATCGCCACGTCAGCGAACTGGCCGCTGCCGCCGGACTGCTTCTTGTGCACGTAGCGGATCTCGGACTGGCGGCTGATCGACTCCCGGTAGTTCACCTGGGGGTGGTTGACAGTTGGTTGGTTCGCGGAGGTTGGCGGCGATTGGTCAAGAGGCGGTTGCAGGTGTGAGTGAGAGAGGGAGCGACTGGAGGCGGGGCGCGGGTCGGCGCCAACCCCTGGCACATCCACCTCGCCGCCGAGTAAGCGCCAATGTCGAAGCCGCCGCGTCTACACACGTGCTTCTGGGTCTGCCCCACCCACCTGGGGTGCGCCGACGTCGCACTCGACCTTGAACTCGCGCCTGAGACGATCCACGATGATCTCCAGGTGCAGCTCCCCCATGCCCTCGATCACGGTCTGGCCGGTCTCCTCGTCGCGGCTGAAGCCGAAGGAGGGGTCCTCCTGGGCCAGCTTGGCCAGGCCCATGCCCTGGGGGGAAGGAGAGGGGGGGTTTGCGGATTGGGGGAGTGTTCAGATGACTGTTTTGGGTGCGAGCAAATCTTGCACAAACCGCAGCTCGTGTTCTCCAACGTGAATTGATCAGCGCTGGGCTGCCTGGGAAAATCTTCGCCACTCTTTGCAGCCCAGACGCCAGCCCCCCCACAGTACAGGAGCGCGCCCTCCCCTCCCGACAAGCGGGGCCCGCATGCATACGTCCGGATCACGGGCGCGTCAGCAGCTTCGCCGCGGCTTCCCACCATCTTCTCGAGGTCGCCCTTGGACTTGGGCTCGATGGCGATCTTGATCACGGGGTCGGGGAAGTCCATGCGCTCCAGAACGATGGGGGCCTTCTCGTCACACAGGGTCTCGCCGGTGATGACGTCCTGGGGGGGGGGGGGGGGGGTGAGGGGGATGGAACGCAGGGTTCAGGTGGGAATTGGGATGTTGAAAGTGGATGCTGCGGGGGGCATGGACTGGGAGGGAAAGGGGGGGGGGCTAGTCCAAGCGATTCCGGCGTGGCTGCCCCGCCCGTGCGCAATGCACAGACATGCCCGCGCGCGCGCGCGCGAACACACGCACCTTGAGGCCGCCGATGGCGATGATGTCACCGGTGAAGGCGGTCTTGATGTCCTCCCTGTTGTTGGCGTGCATGAGCATGAGGCGCCCGATGCGCTCCTTGCGGCCCTTGTTGGAGTTCAGGGCGTAGGTCCCCGCCTCCAGCTTGCCACTGTTGTTTTGGGCGGGCGGCGCGGTTGTTTCGGGAGGTTGTGGAATGTTTGGTTGGAGTGGAGGCAGGCGGGCCAAAAACAGAACAGCGGACGGTGTGAAACTCCAGGTTGCAAACACGACCCATACACCCCCATGCACCCCCAGCCCCGATGCAGCTTATGGCGACCCGAGATTCGTCGGGTTGCAACAAGACTCGTTGGGTTGTGATAGAGTCCTGGGAGCGCCCGCGGGGCCGCGGGGCCACGGGGCCGCGGGGCCGCACCTGTAGACACGGCAGAAAGTGAGGGATCCGACAAAGGGATCAGTCATGATCTTGAAGGCCAGCGCGCTGAAGGGGGCGTCGTCCTTGGCGGGGCGGCTCATGGTGACCTCGATGTCGTTGACGTCCACACCTGATGACGTCAGCGGAGGGGGGGGGGCG